AGTTGATAATTATGAAACTTTTAAATATCCTACTCTCTTGCATTTTAACATTGCAAGCAATATTTTCTACATTTGTAATTGCTTATTTTCTTAAAGTTTATAACAAATACTTTTCAAAATCTATTAATGAATCTATTAATGAAAAAACCGATTTAAACCGAAGCAATCGAAAGGGAAACGTTCAAGATGATGATTTTATAAATAAGATTTTGTTAAAACTTTTTGGAAAGGATTCTACAAAGAAATTAAAAGAATATATTGCTTTCTCAAGTAAAAAATTTGCTATTTAGTTTATTTTTAAAATCTTTATTTATTTACGAATCTAGATCTAGCTAGATCTAGACATTGGTAGTATTAAAATAATTGGAAAAAAGAGATATTCAAAATAATATACAATTAAATTTATGAAATAGTTTGGGTTTGTAACAAATCTAATTTATTTGAATATTTCGTACTAAAAAAAAAAACAACAGAATTTATCTTATATAGCTCTTTATATTTTTTAATTAAAATTTTCGATTAAAAAAATATAACATCGATGGGTATAGGTATATATGTATAAAACAATACTTTATTTTAATTTATATTAAATGAATTCCACATTTATTAATGTCTTCTAATTAAGTTGTATAAAGGCATAAAATTTCAGTTCACTGTTATTTCACTGTTATAAGAGGATGCCAGACCTTTGAGATAAACAAAGCTGTATTGTATTGATGGAATTATCGTCGCTTAGGTCTATGACCAGATATTAAAAAAAGTGTTATATAGAATGAAAATTATCTCTGTTTAGCACGTAGATTTAAGTTTGCATTGACATTAAAAGAGTATACATAATTTTTTTTTATACAAATAAGAAATGACGAATGTACAGTTAAAATGACGAATGTACAATTAAGTAAGAAATGAAATAATTATGTAACATGACTATTAAAGAACTCATAATTTAAGTGGAACGTGGCCTCACCAAAATTTGGGTCACATACAGTCACACCTGAGTTATATCTCCACTGAGTTATATCACAACCTGAGCTATATCCCCCATATTTAAGCAGAATAAATTTCCTTTTTTTATATGTTTTTATATGTTTTATATGTTGAGTTATATCCCTGCCTTAGTTATATCTCCAAAAATCTTCTGGAAAAAAGGGGTGATATAACCCAGGTATGATTGTACTAAAATCTATTGCAGATAATTAAATACTAGGTGCTATTGTTGATTATATAATTCGAACTTCGTGAGGACCGCTCTGACTAATTCAATTCAAGTGCATATACAGTGTATAGAAATTAAAGAACTACGATAAGCACTTGAGAAAAGAGAAAGGTAGTTTTACTATTGCTATAGAATATCGAAGGTTTTTGATATGCGCATTACTTTAGGTACAACTGTCATGTCAAAGTCGAGATATGCTTTCATTTTTGAACGAAAGTCAATTTTATTTATGACCATTACATCGTCGAAAGGCCTTTGTCTTCATATTCGTTATATATTCATTTTACCTTGTGAACTACAAAAATCTTTGTAGCCGTTTCTATTGAATCTAGGTGCTGTACATTAAATGTGTAGTAGAATCTTAGTTTTAATTGGCTGTTATAAGTGAACAATATACAATAAGACTTCTATAATCATACCCTTATCTAAACGTCCTAACTATAAAAATTTTTCCTCATATGAATGTTTTGGCATGATTCCTAAATGACAATTTTTAGAAATTCGTTCTATGGTCCCGAAGTGAGAAAGAAATTTGATTTTGATAATCATTTTGATGATTTCTAATGACTACTTGATTAAATTTGATGAAAAATTTTTATCAAATTTTGTTAATAGTTATCAATAAAAGTTCACTTAAATGTTAAAATTTATATTTCTTGATGAATAAGTGTAAATTCGTATAAAATAAATAGAGATTGGATCGATGAGTTTCGAGCATTGATTGGTCACAAACTCTAGATTTTCGAGCATCGGTAAAAAAATTCTGACCGATGTTCGAATGTTCATTGAGTTTTTAAAAAATACGTAAAAGGATTTAATATAACATGAAATTTATTAATTGTATCATTATCTCTACATTACTTAATTACAATTTATAATTTGCGACAGTAC